TGTAGGGCTCGGGCTTTCACTTTCAGGATTCACTTTCACTTGTGATTTCAAGGGCAAGATATGGTTTCAATGCAGAACCTTTTTTGGCCCATTACCACTCTCTGGTACCAATTGATAGACAGGCAAGTTAGACAACTGACTTTCTACCACATATGGCATGGAATGACACCGAAGTTTGTGCTTTCCTTTTAACCCAACGTTCTGAATAAGCACCCTGTCTCCAGGACTCAGACTCTGAGGACGCACTTTCTTATCATACCTCAGTTTGTTTTCTTAGTTTGCACATGCAGATGCAGCCGTTGCCAACTCGTATGCATTCTTTAATTGCTGCTTCATTCTCTCTACATATTTCCCATAGGAAACTGGTGAATCTTCATCAGACCGAACCCTGAGACACGCATCCACTGGTAACTTAGGTTCTCTTCCAAACATGAGGAAGTACGGTGTATACCCGGTTGCATTATTTTGGGTAGAATTGTATGAGTGAACTAACTGGGCAATATGCTGGCTCCACCTTGATTTCTGTTGTGCATTCAATGTGCCAAGCATATTAAGAAGTGTCCAGTTAAAGCTCTCTGGTTGTGGGTCCCCTTGTGGATGCTATGGAGAAGTGTGGGATTTCTTTACCCCCAACATAGACAACATCTCCTTGATCAAATGGCTCTGAAAATCCCGCCCCTGATCAGAGTGTATTCTATTTGGCAGGCCATAGTGAACAAAATACTTCTCCCACAAGGTTCTCGCAACTGTCAAAGCTTTCTGGTCTTTGCAAGGAAAAGCCAGAGCATATCGAGTGAAATGATCAGTAATGACCAACACATTACTTACATTTCGGGTGTCTGGCTTGATTGTTAGAAAATCAATACAGACTAAATCCAGCTTCCACTTCCGCTTTCATCCTAGGCCAGAAAAAATGGTCTCTCACAAGCGCATACGTTTTCTCAAAACCTAAATGTCCGTTATTGTCATGCAAAGACTCAAGCACAAGCTGCCTGTATCTTTGCTTATTTTTCCCCTCTACCATCCGGTATAACAGACCTTGATCCACTTCCAGACTATTCAATTTTTTCTTTAAAGCCTTAAGGTCAACATGGTTTAATTGGACACTTTAGATGATTGCTTCTGACTAACTGCAAGCCTTACTCTACTCAGGCAAGGGTCATTTTCCTGAGTCTTCCTCAAGTCATTTGAGTCTGAATTCCTTGGCTCATCCTGAGTAAAGGAAACAAATTTTCCAGCAGCTTGGAGCATACCACTCTCAGGACAACATGACTCGGGTAAGTGAGCACTCTGTTGATACACTACATTTGACTCTAGGAGACCTCCCACTTGATTCTTTGCTTCAACAGATTGGCAAAGAGTACGCACACCAGAAACTGGAATTTCCTCCCAGTTTCCTTCAGCTCCAGAACTGGAATGAGGCCGTCTCAACAGAAAGTCTGCAACAATGTTTTTCAACCCCCGACGGTACTTCAAGCTGAACTGGCAAGTTGACAGAGCTGCTAGCCATCTCTGACCCATAGCGTCTAACTTTGCCGAAGTTAGGATGTAAGTCAGAGGATTGTTATCCGTTCTGACTTCGAAATTTACTCCATAAAGACAGTCATGTAGCTTGTCAACCACGGCCCTTTCAATGCCAAGAATTCCAGCTTACGTGCTGGGTAATTCCTTTCAGAGGCAGAAAGACTCCTACTAATGAATGCCACTGGGCGCAATCCTTCAGGATGTTGTTGATAGAGCACTCCATCCATACTGGCATCAACATGTAACACGTGAGGTAGTTCAGGGTCGGCAAAAGCTAACACAGGAGCTTGAGTCAACCGAAGTTTCAGATCCCGAAAAGCTGTCTCACAACTGTCATCCCATCGAGAACCAAATGGATCTGAGAGCCTGAAGTACCCATCAGTAGCAGACTTCTTGATGTTTTCCTTTCCTTAGCGTTTTTGTGGATAACCCTTAAGCAACTGGTTGAGGGGTCTGCACAAACTAAAGTACCCTTTTACGAACCGTTGATATTACCCACAAAACCCAAGAAAGGGTCGCAATTGGGAAGCTGTCTGAGGTCTGGGCCAATTCACAACTGCTTCCACCTTAGATGGATCAGTGGCAATGCCATCTTGTGACACAATGTGCCCAACTTAAGTCACAGAAGTCCTGCAAAACTGGCATTTGTCCAGTAGTGCTGTGTTCAAAATATCGATACAACGATGTATCGTCACAGAGATTTGATGATACGAGTATCGATAAAGCTGGCCCTGTATCGATATTGTGGCACGTGTGCAGCAGTGGACCACGCTTAATTTGTTTAAAATTTTACAATGTTTAAAATTGAGTAGAAAAGTGTGAGGTTTCTAAAAAAGAATGAATAGAGCATATATAGGCTACAACAAGGTTTAATCTGGCCGCAGAGGAACACAACTGGGTTGCCTGACATAAAGAGATGTAATCCCCAAAACAGAGCTTTACACTTGCGCAATACGGAAATATCTGCCAAGTGTGCAACTTATCTTTGTCAACCTGGCAACCATGTGCACTCCACTGTGGATAAACGCGCTTGCTTTCTGAAAACAGCGGTTAGCTTGCAGTTTAGCGATCTCCACTTCAATAATCTATTCTCAGAAAAGTGTAATTCATCAACTGTTCATTTACGACACAGAGAGAGAGAGAGAGAGAGGCTGTGTATGTATGAACTACCACCGTTTTGCCGCGTTTCTCTATTAACAGTAAAGCTGTGAAAACTGCGGGGCAGCGCTAAAAAGTTTGTTCCTGAATGTCTGAGTTCGGCCGCAACGTGATCTGTGTGTGTGACTGCACTTAACATCAAACTGCTTCTGTTTCACACAAATGCTGGCACAGACATGCATGTTTGGCTAGAGTCGCTTTGAACTCGTGCATCTTCGGAAGCGGAGCTGCGCGGCAAGTTACAAAAAATGTTGTGCACACCGCCACGCGAAACAACGTCGCGCGCACTCAAAGCGAACTTCCGACAACACCGCGATGACGTCATATTTGCCGCGCGCACCTAAGCAAACTTGTGGACGCGTCGAGTATAAATCAGCCTTGAGCGTGTGTGCGTTAGATACAGTGAAGACAGGGCGTTAGTTTAGAACTCTTCTAATTATAATTTTTTTAATTGTAGAGAGTGTGTTAATTTGTGCAATGATAACCTACCAGCAATGTAAATGATTTTTTAAATATATTAGAATGAGTACATTACAATATAAATTTATTAGAACAAGTACATTATTATTTATGGGCTTAAAAACAAGATGCAAACAATCAGAATATTGTACCTGGTGGGGAGTGCACAAGGTAAACATGAAACATATGCCATTACCTATATTGTACTGTGGTACAGTTATGGAGGCCCTTCATAATGCAGAGGTCAACTGCCTGCTCTGCCAATAGTTAGAAATGGCACTATAGTAAGCAGTGTTTAATAAACAGCTGTTTTTCTCAATTCTGCTGAGGTGAAATTCAGTGCAGTCATGTATCATGATACGTATCGTATCGTGGCCTCTGTATCGTGATACGTATCGTATTGTGACTTTGCTGGTGATACACGGCCCTATTGTCCAGTGACAACTTTAAACCCTCCTCTTTAAGCCGATCCAGAACTTTGAACAAACGCTGATTGTGCTCTTCAAGGGTTCTGCCAAAAACAATCAAGTCGTCCAAATAAACCAACGCTTTCAGAAAATTCAAGGCACCCAATGTCTTCTTCATAACTCTCTGAAAGGTTGCAGGGGCCCCACTAATCCCCTGAGGCATGCACTCAAACTGATAAAATCCTGGTGGGCAAATAAATGCAGTCTTTTCTTTATCAGTCTCTTCCATGGGAATCTGATAATACCCACTTCGCAAATCAAGACCACTGAACCATTTGCTCCCGACTAAACTATGGACTGCATCTTCAACCCGAGGGACAGTGTATTGATCAAGTACAATACGTCTGTTCAACGTTCTATAATCAACACACATTCGCACTTTGCCGGATTTCTTACGCACTACCACGATAGGAGAGGCATAAGGGCTTCTGGATTCAGAGATGATACCACATTTCTGCAATTCCATTAGATGGTTTCGCACATCTTGCAAATCAGCAGGAGGCAAACGCCGAGAACATTCACGAAAAGGAGTTGAATCAGTAAGCCATATTTCATGCTTAGTACTCTTGGAACGTCCAACATCCCATTCATGACAAGAGAATACATCACGTCTCTCCATCAATTTTTCACACAACTGCTGCTTGGCATCTTCAGGTAAGGGTGAATTCTCAAAGTCAAATGATGTAGGAGTTAGTGTACTGAACAACTGATTTTCGGCAAAGGTGGGCTGAGGTACAATATCGACAGGGTAAAGATGAGCAATTGGTGTGCCACGTTTCAGATGCACATCTTTAGTGGACATGTTTCTCACAGTAACAGTGACGATGCGATTAGATATCACAGAAACTGACTGCAATTCAGGTCTCACTAGCAAGTCATCTGAAACACTAGTGTCATCAGGTTGGTCAAGGTATGTAAGAAGTGATCACCCAGCTTCTGTTTACAAGCCTCAAACAAGCGTCTCACTATATTGGTGTTAGTTCCCACCAGAATAGCAATTCTCTTCTCTGGCTGAGAAACTGGACAGACAAGTGCAAGAGTGTCAACAGCTTGTGGTAGTCCTACCACATTTTCGGTGAATTCAAGCTTAATGGGAAGATAACCGTTGTATGGTTATTTGTGTGAACTCAAAACCCCATATTTCAAGATATTCCACTGGCAACAGCGGTAAGTGTTTCAAGTACACGTCGTAAAAGCTTCGATAAAGGATGGTGACTTGAGAGCCACTATCAAGTAAAGCTTTCGCGTAAACTCCTTCAATTTGGACTGGTACTTCAGATGTTGGACCAATCAAGCCAGATGGAATTCCCGAAGAACAAGTAATTTCTTTTTCAGAACAAGATGTGGAACGGAATGGAAAAGGAGTCATGTGCCATTCCTCCACGGAGCTCCCTAGAAGTTTCCCGAAAACCTGCTCTGACTGATCAACTTTTGATTTACTTTCCTCAGGTTTTCAGTTCCTCGACACTCTCTCTTTGTGTGACCATCCTCATCACACTTGTAACAGAAAATTCCAGGCCGAGAAAACTTGGATGTGCTCTTCTTGTTGGAAGCTTCTGTAGCACTAGCATCTGCCACTTGACACACAGGGCCAGTTGCCTTTGAAGAATGTTCAGGAACAGGGTCAGTTGCAGCTGCCTTCAACAGCTTGGACATCTGTGTTGTGAGTGCACTCACCTCTTGCTTTATACTACTCAATTCAGACACGAGAGAAGCCTGTGGAACAGAGGCAGCAGCAACCACTACTTTTCCCCCATCTCTAGCCCTGATCCAATCCTCTTCTTCCCTGACTTCTCGTAACAATTGCAAGAAACTAGGAGGATCACGCAAAGTGTGGGTCATTCTTAGTCGTAGCGCTACCATATCAGTATTACGAGCTCCCTTTACCACTTGCTCCATACGCATGCGATTCAAATCAGTGGCTACAACCCCTCCTTTTACAAGCATGTGATGAAGGAGCTTGTCCAGCCGATAAAGAAAATCAGAAAGCTTTTCACTTTCCCCTTGGTAAGTACTCCTGAACTTTGCAAGAAGATCAGAATTACTTTCAGTATTTCCATAGGCAGTTTCCAGAGCAACCAGATAATCAGTAGCTGTGGCAGCTGGTTTACTAACCTTTAGAAACCGAACTATGTCTGAAGCAGGTCCCCGCAAACTCTCAACAATACGCTGCCTTTTCACAGAATCAGCACACTGCCACTCGCTGATCATTTGGACAGCCTGTTCCATCCAGGGGTCATATTCTTCCTCCCCAGCAGGTACTGGTTTTACACCTGAAAATACTCAATCTCCTGTAACCCAAAGTTTCTCTGGGCACATGGATACACTTTTCCACAAGGCGATCAATAGCTTTCACCAAATCAAGATTAACATTTACATTAGAGGACTGACCTTGCTCCAGCATAGACTTCACATCCTCCAGCAACTTTCCTTCCTGCTGCAACAAGGACAACAACTTATCCTGAAACACAGCATCTCCCACTGAAGGATCTGTCACCATTTTTTCAGGTACATGTACCCTCCATGGGCCCGCCTCATCAGGAATCCCTATCTCTGGTGGTACAGTATCTGGATCAATATCATTACTGGTTTCAAGCAACAAGAACCACTTAATTCCTGTAGGGTCTCCCCATTTGCCATGAATTTTGGGATGACCAAATGCCTTCACTGTATTAAGTACATCTGCGATTGTCTCATCCCTCACATCTATTGGGACATCACTGAGTATTAGACAACGAGATGGACTTATTTGCGCCCGACGGCTCCATTCACCAGCCTTAGAAATATCCATGTCTCACAATGTTTTACAACACAAATAAAAGAGGGAGAAAAAAAACAACAACCTCCCAGCAGAAAAAAAAATCCAGAGAAAACTCAAATCCCAGTGGTGCATCCAAAAATGTAACACTACTGTTAAAGGCACAAAAAACAGCAAGACCTGGGCTTCAGCAATTGTTGGTGAGTTGGCTGGGTTACCTCTGGAAGGTTATATTTTACAGAAATTATATTTTCTGATGCAGTCGCTCCAAAAATGTGTCAACTATACACAAAGAAAATAGTTTGTGTACACTGTTACTCTTGATTAAATAAAATTTATTTCCCTATTTGTTATGGGCTGTTCTCTTTATAAACTACACTGTAATCAAGTTACTCAATGAGAATATACAGTTAAACAAATACACAAGTAGTAACAAATAAAAAATTGTTTATTTTTACCAAACAAAAACTCTAAAATTTAAAACAAAAATAAGATATCCCCCTTTTTTATAGTGTAAGTAAATTATAGAATGAACAGAGAAATAAGAAAAACTGCAGATTCAAGTGGATAATACCAATTATTAGTTAGCTGCAGTTGTATACCTCTATGGATCCAAAACTGTAACTTTAATCACAAATTCACCCTTATACTTCCTTAAATGTTCCTAAACCAAGCGTTTGGATTTCGTTGGCGCCCTTATTCGGTGGTGCACATAATGGCAGTCACACTCGGATGATGCAGTTCTTAAAGTACACTGTCAAACTGGTTACTCACTCAGTTACTCCACTCTGTTACAGCGAAACTCTCCAAGTCGCGCTGAGAAGAGATTATGTGAAGCTTTGATCCTCTTCTCCTCGATAGGCACAGGAAAGCAGTCCAACGCTGAAATAAGTGATGCGTCACACACCAGAAAATGGCCGCTGAGTCCCACGCACGAAAGCCTGTGCTCCTTTCACACGACGAACAGTCCACTTTTGCCATATAACCGCCCTGAAAACACTCCGATGCGGTCCGTGACTCCTCTGGGTCCTCAGATCCCGAAGAAACAATAGAACAACGCTACAGTCTGTGCATATATATGACGGCTGCTACGATGAACAGAGTAGACCTAATGCATTAGTCTTTCAACACATGGAAAACCTTCCCGTTATCAAATATATACATATATTATCTGTGTGTGATCTAGGACATGAACACTGTCGCAAGATAAACTTTGACAGCATTACATAATTTTTCCTGTCTTACTCCGTCAAGCAGCGCGCTAATCTCTCTTTGTTCCGTTTCCCAACCTCACGTTCGTCGCTCCTCCCCCGTACTCATTCCGATTGGTTGAACATGAACACACCAAAAACCCAATGACTTTACAAATAAATGTGTAAAATAAAATAAATGTGTACAAAGAATGTGATCAAACTGTTTAAAATAGCTGGGCTAAGATATATAACAATTTTTATGACTGTAGAAATATGTTAATTCAGTACTCACCTTATCCCACCGGTCACAATTGTGACCGACCATAAAACAAAAATTTTCACACACTTTTCCAAAAAAAATTCAAAAAATAATTATTGATTATTTCAAAGGGTTACTAATGACACATCATTTGGATATTTTCATGTCATAGCTCATGCTACATGTAGCATCTTTGTTTGGATTGTGATTCAAATGCAGTGGTTCTGCAACTGTTGAATGCATTCTGATACATATAAAGGCTCTCAGGGAGAAAAAATATTATAAACCGTGAATCCGCCAGAATCCTTTGAAAAAAGTGACAAACAAAACCAACATGATACAGATTTTGAGTCAAACCGCTCAGCTCTAGTAGCAGAATTAGTAGTAATTATCTTAGCAGTATTATTGTTTTTTTTACAGAAACAATGAATCACCAACAATGTCTCAAGCCCCACTAGCCATAAGTTCTGTTACTACCACAAATATTTAATTTCATTACTAGTCAATAGTGATTCTAAACAGAACACCTATTGACATTTGCAGCTGCTCTGATAATATTGATGAGTCTCTGATTATAAACACTCATTCAATAAGCCATTTCAGGATCAGCCTGCAGATCGTCTCACTTTAGTCTGAGTGTCTGCAGGTAGAAACAAATCATTCAAGTCAGAATAGCTGTTATACATTCACTGTAAACCACGGCTTCTTGGGGCTTATTGCTTTAAATTGACAGTTTCTCTGAGTGAAGTAAATACGGACACTTTTGGGAGGAGATTGAAGCTTTAACTTTTCATTTTCCATAACTGTGTTGTTTCACACCGACAAAATGAGTTGAAAGCCCCAAAACAATCACAATAGTTAATGGCTTGATTTATTCATTAGATGATCATTTATTCTTGATGCAATCAGCAGACAGTATATAGACAATAAAAGCTGTTGATAGAATTATTAATGATTTTAATTCTTGGTGAAGCAAATAAAAAAAGTAAGTGAAAATAGAAACCAATGAGACAGATTTCTCCTTTTATTGATGATAAACACTTTTACTTTGAGAAAATTGAACAATACAAAACTCATCCAAAACAATCCTCTTTGAGTTGATTTGAATCTCACAGATGAAACTGCTGAACTTTAAGATGAACTTTATTCACGGTGAAAACTAGATGTTTCTTTTTCCTGCTGTTTGTTACGGCTGATTAGGACTGATTTATGCAGAAGAGATTTTATTGCTCAATGCATTATTGTGTCAGGTTTAGTGAGGATGCGGCGTCTGAAGATGATCTTATTGTGACTGATACGGTTTCTCTCCAGTGTGGATCCTCTCATGTGATTTCAGATTTGCTGACTGATTGAATCTCTTGTCGCAGCATGAACACTTGTAAGGTTTCTCTCCAGTGTGAATCCTCTGGTGCAGTTTCAAGTTTTGAGCTGTAAAAATTACGTTTTTTTATTTGGTAGCACTGTGCTCCCAACTTCAAAAAGTTATAAAGCACCAGCAAAAATGTAGGATTACCCATCAAAACTGGCAACTGTGCGGAACAGAGCAGCATCCTGATGATTAAAAGCCTCAACAATCAAAACCTGATCCTAAACTCCAATGTGTAAGCAAATGGGCTGATTCTGATTGCTGTTTTATATCCGTTTTATTTTTTAAGCAAACGGAAAGACAGAATGAAAATATAAGTACATGAACATGATGTCTATTTGCTCTATTACAGGCCGAACTCTCTGTAGCCATTTAAATTTAGAGGCAACCACTGCATTTTAATCAGGATCCAAACAAAGATCTGAAGCAAAAACAGAATGGCCTGTCTTCAGCTTAGTGAAATTATACTACGTAAAGTTGCGTAACGTAAAACATTTGCACAAAACAAAAACAGCAGACGGACTGAATGATAACACAAATTCACTCTCTGCCAGCAGGTGGCACTTATGGAACAGCAGTGATACCACTTTAATATGCATTATAGGGAGGTAAGATGAAAAAAAAAAAATCTCAACAATTTTCTGAAGAAGGTATTTAAGATTTTCTTCCAATACCTCGCTCGCCATGAACAGTGACCTGCTCTGCCTACCACAGTATTATCTCCTCTATGCATCCGTCTTCAGGGTCTCTGGCCTCTGTTAACGCCCATTGACAGACTTCTGAACTGCTTCCACATAAAAAATATGAATGTGGTTTCTCCTTTGAATGAACTTTCAGGTGCTTCTTCAGGCCTGAAGCCCACAGATATGTTTTGTTGCACTGATCACATGTGTGCAGCTCCTCTACACTGTGGCTGTTCATGTGCTCCTTAAGGTGTGACGATTGTCTGAAACGCTTTCCACACTGATCACATGTGTACGGTTTCTCTCCAGTGTGGATCTTCCTGTGAACCTTGAGACTCTGTTTGTATGCAAAACACTTTCCACACTGATCACATGTGTGCGGCTTCTCTACACTGTGGACGTTCATGTGGTCCTTAAGGTGTCCTTGTTGTCTGAAACTCTTTCCGCACTGATCACATGTGTATGGTTTCTCTCCAGTGTGAATCCTCATGTGAATATTGAGACTCTTCCTGCATGTCAAACTCTTTCCGCACTGAACGCAGGTGAAAGATTTCTTGTCTTTTCTTTTCAGTAAAGAGGCACTTTCAGTCTGTGACTTGACATCGATTTTTCCATTTTTGACATGATGTTTCTCCATCAGGTCTGAAATGAAAATTAAACAAATACATTAGAAATCTTAAAAATCAGAGAAGTGTGTGGTGAAATGTCATAAAAGTGAAGCTGAAAGTAGGGGCTATGATCAAGGTTCACAAGGTTATGATCATTTTCATTTGAATATTTTCCATGAGCAAGGCACAATGATCTCCAAATTACCATTTTTAAAACATTACAGGCACAAACCCATGTTTTCCACTCTTTACCTCACTAGGGCTGGGACGAAAAATCGATGCAGAATCGATTCGTGGATCGATTCTGAGATTTTCAGAATGCATCGCGATTCCTCTGGAATCGATTCTGAGCTTATATTTTAACAGAAGATGGCGCTCTAATCTAGTTTTTATCCGCACACTCAAATGCTCATGAAGAAGAGTGCTAAAGAGCGCTTGTGCGTTCAGTTGAGTTTGTAATTTCACCTCGACTCAGAATGCTTTTATGATGCGAGATTAATGTAAACACAGCCCACTGTGAACACTCTTCGCTTAGAATCGATGCGGAATCATTTCTCGATTCGCGATGCATCGATTAATTTTCCCAGCTCTATACCTCACCGACCCACACGAGTCCAGTGGAGAGAACAAACTTCTTCAGTAGTTGTGGAACTGCACTGTGATGACTTGTGACTTTTGTTTTTAATGTAAAGCCATGTGAGAATAAAGGCTTTTTATTTTTCACTATATTTTTGAGTGCCTTTGGCGTTATGAGTTTTTTTGTACATTTCAAGTTATTTCAGTTTCTGACCAAAGCAAGTAGTCATTGATAACATAAATACACAAGCCTGATTTTTGTTTTAATTGTAAGAATCTATCGTACATAAATAAAAATCACAAACATCTACAATCATGACTGTAAAAAATACAATGCCAGAATGAAGC